GCAATATAGGATATTGTGAAATAACGAAACATTAACTCAAGACGCAGGTAAACGTGTTATGTTTATGCATGATTATTTTGGTGATAGTCTGATTCCAAGTTTAGACTAATAATCCAATCACCATAATCTGGGTCACGATTTCCAAAGACTATAAAATAAAGAGCATTTTTTTATGCACTCATTGACGACAAATCGGTACCGAATCCCACACCGTCACGAAGCATACTCATAGAGCCTATTGTGTTACAGAGTTATTTGAGAATAAATTATTATCACGATTAAGTAAAGGTCATTTTGGATTACACGAAATCTACCAGAGTCAAAAACTGTGCACGATCACAAGACTAGTAATTCTATCCCGGCAGCTCAAAAGAAATTACACACCTCTAACTACGTAACTATGGAAAATATGCATTTTACACAGTTTCACGGAATAGACTCGAAACCAGAGCACTCACTGGTGTTGCCGTGGATGCATACGCTCCAGTAATCAAAGAAGTGAAACAAAAATCGTCAAAAGAAATTATGCAACTGGCAACAGTCTTCGCGAAACGGTTGTCTAGCACTTGATGAAAGTGATATATTTATCACTAACTCCTAGACATATATTGTGTTGTAAGGTGCATTTAAAACTGTATAATGCTGAAAATTGACATTATTTAACCACTTCAAACATAATACTAATTCTCTTGGTTTGTATTTAGACAGGCATCTTCCTCGAGAATCTCAAGAAATTAAGATTTACAACGTATTTCTAGCACACAACATGTATCTGTAGCCGGTTTGTTTCATAAAAATACTTAGAGAGATTTCCAAGGAATCTAATCTCTAAAAAAACTTCATTGGTACCTCAAAATCGACCTAAACGACACACTGAGATCTACAGTAATTTCGAAAAATCCACAACAAATATAACATTTCACAGGCCTGCCTTTTATCTTTCGCTGTGTTTTACTGCCGTCCGATTGTTTTCTCAGTATAACTGTGTCAAAAACAATAAATAATCATAAAGTCGTTCTTTACATCCTCATATATATAAATATATCTAATATGATTATTCATATTTTATATGTGATTATTAAATAATTAATGCGAAGAAATCTATCAAGCGTACGCAACCATAATCTTTGAAAATCATTTTTATCACTAGTTAGTCCTGATCATGTTTGAATCAATGAAGTACTAGTTTGTCCTAACCACAGTTTCATTTGCAAAAAATGGCGGAACTTCAAGAAGTGGTGGATGAGACTTCGCTTTCATCCAAAAAGTCTGCTGAAAGCTGTCGGGATGATTTGAAGTCCATTAATAGTCAAGTATATCATGTTTCCAAATATAATAGGTATGTAGTTAGAAGATTCTATTCGCGATATTGAGAAGTCACTGGTCACAATGGAGGGAAATTTCACAGTCTGTAATATCCTTTTTTGATTAATTTTCGTTGCATCTTTTGTTACACGAGTATGGATATTATTCAAAGACGATCGAAGAAAACAGCTATACTGAGTTTCTACGTTAAATATACGCCTAGAAGTTGTGAAATTATAAGATATCGCATTGTCTTTTAAGGTTTAAATTGTTCATGACAGAACCTTCTCTTTACTTTTGTGCTTAAGTATTTTCAGTGTCTGAAAAGATCCTCCACTCACGCCTAGGCCTTAAATATCTTTTATGAATTATCCACTTAGCTGTGTCAAATTTAAATTAGCTTGTCTTTTAGTTAAGGAAGATTGATGCCTGCTATCAGTAGACACACTGAATAACATGAATTGGAAAATGATTAACGTTTGTGAGTATCTTGACAACACCTTTATTAAAACAAAATGTTTAACTGATCAACGTTCCTAATAAACTTTCGCTAAGATATCATAATAAAGCTGACAGTAAAAATAAATGCAATATTTGAACAAACTGTGCTCTGAATAAATAGAAAACAAACCGGTAAGGCTCTTTTCTCACCTTCTTATGTTGACAGTCATACTAGAATGGATAGAGTATGAGGTATGAGAAGTCCCCCATAAAATAGTTAAGCTTTATTACTAAACGGTTGTCGTTTCTGATTTCGGAATAAATTTAGGACCGATTCTTTTAAATATTATTGCATTTAATAATTTTTGATTAGAAAGCAGGCTTTATGTTGAGACCATTTTAGTATACACTAAACAGTACATTTCTTAGAGAAATGTACTAGCTGATTGATGTTTGCTTTGAAACTTTCCCTGAAACAACTGTGACTATCTTCCTTAAATGATATTTACTTGCTGAGATGAATAACGACCTGGAAAAGCTGGAAGCTGATATTTCGAAGTTAATTGGATCCTCTGAATTCCAAGAAGTTGATTAACTGAAAAACCAACGTGCAAATATAACAGTTGAATAAACAAAAATACACAAGCTTTTTCCAAAAACTTTTATTTTAAAAGATTGTAAAGTCTTTTGTGAAAGCAGTAATTCGAAATTTTACTCCAAATGTTTATTTAGATGAGAATTTCTTATTCTAGTAGCTGACGGTCTTTTCGTGTACGGGAAGCTTTTTTTGTCAACAGTTATTGAGAAAAATAACAAATCTGTGAAAGCGATAGATGCTAAGGACACTAATAAGTTTCGTTCATAACTGCCTTCTCACTGCAGTTCAGGCAACTTATTGCAATTATTCTAAATATTTGATGCAAAAGTCGATCAAGTTTTTATTGTCACAATCTAATAACGTTCTGAAGTCCAGAACTTATACACTTCTATTTCACTTTCATAGCCTTAAGCTGACACTGTATGGAAAACCCTACTGTCGTGACAGAAAACCCAAGTTTCTGTATTTGATACGAAAGAGTACAAACTACTTGTAGAGTGTTACTGATGTTCATTTACATCTTTTGGCCCGTTAACCTAGCTGCAAAAATACCATTGGTTAGTGTATGAACTATTTTCATTGCTGTAAATGAACAATGTCCACATGTCTATTGTTCTAGCTCAACTTGTTTACGTGTGGAGTTATGTCGAGTGTCTTTAAGCAGTCCGCTATACCGAGAAGAAGTATCTTCAATCAATATTGTACAAAGCTTAAAGGATCGTTTCCGTATGGATGGTAGGAGTCTTTATCGTTAAAGTACTTTTCAGATCAGACAGTTTCTAAGTAATTTTAACCTCGTTATTTATTCAGTTATGTAACGAGGGACCGTCCGAGTATGTTAAATAATCCTGAGACCTGATGGTTTACCCTATTTAATTGTATTTAGAATACAAGAATAAAAAATTATTAGTTTATTTAGTACCTAACGATTGTAATACTTATACGTTTACAAACTATTTTTTCACATTCGAAACCAAAAAACTAAGTTAATACTCGTTCTAAAGATCTCAAACGTCCTAAAGGCAACTAAAGTCTCACTTTGGCTTCAGGTGTACAATCTAAACAAATTCTTACATACTGAAGTAGCGTTGGAAACATGAATATCTCAAGCGCTAACCATCAAAGTTAAACCGTTTAGGGTGTCGGGCAGTCATTCACCTTCCAAAGAAAATTGATTAGGTCACTCAATATCGTGGGTTGATTGAGGTTATACATTAACACTGATGGATGCCGGCGAAGTGGTTAAGCGTTTGTGAGCGAGATCTTAAATCCTGGGCTTGATTCATGTGTGCGAGGGTCGTGGATTTGATTCTGACCGACTTGGTCTCAAGTGCTTTTATGAGTCGTGCATGTACACTAATGAGTAGTCTTATACTTACATAAAACGACCGTTTAGTAATCTTAGGTTTCTAGTGGTGGTCTGAAATTGGTCGATCCACAATTTCAACTGATTTCTTCAAGTTTTATTATTTCTATCTAGAAAATAATCTTACTTTATATTCATAAAATATGTACATAACATTTGGAAACTTTTACAATTAATACGATCGAAAATCGCTCACAAAATCCTCATATTCTTAACTACTACAAAAGCAAGTGTCGTTTTCATACTGTGTGTGGATTTTTAAATGTAGTATAACAAAATATTTGTGAGCACTATTTTTTTACAGAAGGACAAATAATAAAGATACATGTTATAGTAACAAAATTCAAAACATGTATTCAGTGTCATAATTCTCCAATCAGTTCATCAATCTCATCCCAATCAATGAAGCTAGTGCTTGGCACACCACCTATTTCAGTGAATAGATCAGTTTCTGGCATGGAATGTGGACTTTGTGGAATTGGCGACTCCTGATAAAATAGTAAATCAAAAAGCGGAATTTAGATTTAATATAACTGTGTAACTATAACTTTAGTTAACTGAGAGTTTGAAGGTGAATTTTTCAAATGGTTTTGACACTATAACTTTGGCTTTTATAGAAAATAAATATAAGTATTTTTGTTACTTCTAGATAAAACCAGAGTGCTGTAGGGAGAGAATTAAATGATTCTGTTGTAAACGTTACCTGTTGTAAAAACAAGACGTTTTCTAGTGCCGTAAAATGTAATTCTGCTATTCATATTGTACGTTGCTTAGCTATTGCTCATGTTCTTTCGAGATTGTCTATTTTCTTAAATGTAGACAACTGTATCAGATCACTAGGACAAATGTATGTCTTCCTGATCTGTTCATTTACTCTACTGAGCAGTCATTTGAAAGATTAGGAAGTATAGTATTTTATTCAATCAAAACATCAAGGCCATCTAAAGACTCGAAAATCGAAGATTTCTACTTCATGCAGACCCTTTTCAAGACTCAAAGAAATTATGCCGACAGCACTTACATCATTGAGTCAGAAAATCTTCAAAATGTCTTAGATCATTCAGATATTATTCAGAGGTCATTGTTTCATTTATTAGAAAAGGTTGTCTTTACTTGTTGATATTACTACTTTATTGCGAGACAAACTGTCTAATAGGGCCGCATTACAAGCGTGGTGTCATATCTACTTTTGACTCACCACTCACATTTCACAATAATGATATTTATCACAGTATTTTTAACATCATCGTCACACTTGTTACTATTTCAATAGAAATGGGACAGAAGGATGTATAATTTGCAACTTAAATAGTTCTTCTTTGTGATTGAATTCCATTCTTTAAGATAGCCTAACCTTGGTCACAATGCATTATACTATATTTTTCTGCTTTAGCTTACTTAGTCTAACTAAAAACCTAGACCCGATCGTAACTGCTACCTTGACGTGGTGGCCGGGCTTGCCTGTCGTGATGACCCAACCGGTCCTGGAACACAGACATACATTTAGGCGTCCTACAATAGTTGTCTTCCTGGACCTTAAGGCGGCACTCGACCCTGTTGATCGTGAGGTTCTGTGGCAGTGTCTATCATTGAGCGGTGTATCAAAGAAGTAAATTAACCTTATACAAGCTCTACTCGAACACTACAGGTCGGATGAGAGCTTATAGCGTACTGTCATCGGAATTCTCTACTTGAAGAGGTGTCCGTCAGGGATGTCCATTATCTCCATTCTTGTTTAGCATTGTCGTAGACAAGCATTTAGAGTTAACATTATCCTCGCCATATTTTTCAGGGGTGGATCTTCTACCAGGAGGATAGCTTGTTGACCTAGAATATGCCGATGACAGTTCTATTCGCTGAAGACGCTGACAAAATGCAGATTCTTCTGACCACCCCAAGCAACAATGCAAGCATGTTCGGGATGCAGTTCTAATCCTCGAAATGCAAAGTGTTGCTTCATGTTTGGGTTGCGTCGGCACCTGAACTAGTGATAGGGAGTGAAGTAGTCGAGCGTGTTGATCGCTTCACTTATCTTGGGAGTCTCATCAGCGCTGATGGCCTGGTGTGTGACGAAACCGCAGCACGGATACAGAAGGCTCGATTGGCTTTTACCAATTTGCGTCACTTATGACGTAAGCGAGATATCTGCTTTCTGATTAAAGGACGAGTGTATCGTGCAGCAGTTCGCTTTTTCCTACTATACGGATGCGAAACATGGCCGTTAAGAGTAGAGAACTTTCAAATGTTACTAGTCTCCGATCATTTATGTCTCCAAAGCATTGCTCGTATACAATGGGACGACCGTATAAGCAATGCTGTCGTTAGGAAACGAGTTCTAGGTAGGGATGACAAATCAATAGATAAAGTAATGAAACTTCATCAGTTGAGGTGGTTGGTACATGTGTTACGAATGCCCAACCACCAACTGCCTTGACTAGCGATGTTTTGTGGTGTCGGAGTAGGTTGGAAGTAATCTAGGGGCGGCTAAACCAAAATATGGCACAAATGCATGAAGTCACTGACAAGTGGACTGAATCATGTTGGTAGATGTAGAATACCTGGTTGGGGTCCGCGAGACGAGAGTCACTAATGGTCGGAGACCTTGAACGACATGTCTCAGAATCGTTTGCAATGGCGCAGGTGCATCCCCTCATTAAGTTCTCTCTTATTCTAACCTGAATTCCTCATCATCTGTCTTTCTCCTTCTAAATTTATCTCACTGAATTATACTTCTCGAATCATATCTTCGCTCCCTAATCTTCACTACTGCCAATACTTCTAATATCGCTATCACTCTTGGATTTGAACTGACAGTTGCGTCCCTGTGCTGATGTGGTATGGAGACCTGAACTGATGTACTTACGTACCAAGTTCTGTGTTGTATCTGTCTAACTGTCTGATGACCCGAACGAGCTATATTGGCTGGGACATATGTTCCTGAAGGCTCTACCATGCCAGGCAGGTCGATTGGAGAACGATGAGACTAAAAGCAGCTACCTAAGGTCTGAGCGCGAAGTCGTACTGCTGACTGCAGAGGGGTGTGACATCAGTAACTTGTTTCCCTCACACAACCAGCATCTGCAGCGATGCTGCCTTCTCACGAGGAAAGAAGTGTTAGAAAAGGTCGACCCTGAAAATGTCACCCTCACCTTACCTCACGGATTTCCGTCTCCGTCGGTAAGGGCTGCCCACTAATGGCTTCAAAAGAATGGAGCTAATACTCAAACAACCTTTCATCAAAAGGCCGTGTGTGACCGGCCTCAAGCAGTTGTCCCTTGGTCTCTGCGGTGACGCCCGACCGACACTAATCTACCTTCCTTTCTAGGTTCCTCAAGAAACACCCTTCGAAGGTGTGGGCAGCCGGGAAGTGATAATCGCCGTCATACTCGTAACAGCACACGAGACCAAATCGGTCATAATCAAATCCTCATTACACCCCCTAACATCCCCTTTATCTTCACGAATAACTCTCCTCACATTTATTTATCACCCGCACCTCGGCTGCAAACTATGCGAGTTTCCGAAACGTTATTCCTGGTTTCCTGAAACATCGTTCTAAGCTACATGTTGGAGCATTTAATGTACGGACATTGTGTTAAATAGGGCAACAGGCTTCATTAGCTAGGATTTCAGAATCTCGCTCAATCGGTGTATGCTGCGCCTCGGAAACGCGCATACAGGATCCGAGTAGCGTCATTCGCTTGACCTAACCATGTCAAGATTAAGAAGCAACTCGATTTACCCTTCGTGTATCTGGAAGCCCTAATGCTGCTTTCCGGGGTGCTAATGTGGTATGGCGACATGAACTGATGTACTGACGTCCGAAGTTCTATGATGTAACTGACTGACTAAAAACCTAGCACTCTGCAAACCAGAAACCGGAATTTTTACTAATTGTAAGCGTATTTAATAATTATTTATTTGGACTGACCTGATCAAAGTTAGAAACTCCACCAGTGCTTTGTTGCCTAGATGGACTGCGAAATCTTTCGTCTTCATCTCCATAGAGTATTCTTTTCACATTGCTTTCTAGTGACCAGTCACTTAAAATTGTTGTCTGTAAGTCATCCTCAGAAGGTAAGTGTTTTGGCGCATCAAGATGTAAATCAGTTAATACAGATGGTTTCTGCACAACTACATTGAAAATAGAAATATAAGGCTATATGAATAATGCACACTTATACAATGGTTAATTCAGCATAAACATTTACGCTTGGTTTCTGTCATTAGCAACCAAATGCTAGTCATTAGACTGTAATCAATATAGTCTTTGGTGGTTGAAGTACTGGTATTGGATAAACTAGTGAGAGGTGTTTACTTAAAATCCATCAATAAGACCGCACTGAGTACAATAACCTTACAGAAAGTAGACATTGACCAACGAGCCATTTAATGCATTAAAGTTATAAATAGTAATTTTGTTCAATAAAATACATTACTTGAAGTTTAGAATAACACAGAAATAGTCTGGTTGATAAAGACTCAATAAAATCCAATTACAGAATTATTCGAGTCCATTAGGATTTAAATTAAGATATTTAAACTAAGCAGTTGAACATTACTATTCAGTTCCCTGTTAATCGTGTTACCGGCCTTGTTGCAATAATGTTTTTCCATCTGTTCAAAATTATTGATAAAAAGAATATTGATATCTTACATTACCGGCTATTATCCTATTCTATTTGTTTGAATCTGTTACTGATTTATGTAGAGGTGAGAATACGTTTTTTACGAATAATATAAACCGTGGATTGTATAGGCCACTTGTACAAGGTATTTTTAATTTAGGTAGTGAGATTCACTATTTATTAGTGAAACCAGTACTTGAATATGCAGCAGTTAGCGTTAATTATATTTTTATTCATCAAATAAGTGCAGCTAGCAAATTATGTTTGATACCAGAAGCGTTTATTCAGGCTGGACCAAACTTGCATTCATATAAGCTCGGTTTGTAAATCCTAATCAGCTTCATTATTGGTGATACAAAATAAGTTATTTCGAAAATTATACTGGTTCTTACTCTTTTAAATTCCGAAAGCTTAGTAGAAATTCACTCTTGAGTGCTGAAATGTTGGTCAGATGAAACTTTAGTGGCTGCGTTGAATTCAAAGTAGGGATTATCACTTTTTAGTGGCCCGCGATCTGACTCTAGTTTGAAAGAATGATCGAGTATGTGATGGAATAAATCCTACTTTCAGTTTTTGTATATCTTGATTCAGCGAACGCCGTTTGAACATAAGCGGTAATAAGAAGCCATATGAGGTTTTGTGGATGAATTTATTTCAGGCAATCGTTCATGTAGACAGACAAGAGAATAAGAAGCGTACAAGCAAAGAGAGGCAGAATGGAGCGGAAAAGGAGGGCGAGCCAACCCAATGCGATAGGGCATGACTAAGTATTTATAGTCAGACAAAGTAAGCTAGACATGTAATGAGCAGAGTCAACGTGAATATATACAACCTAATGTAAACAACCGAGGTTAAAGTTAATAACTGATAAGGTCGAAAGACGAGACGAGTCAATAATGACTCGAACAGAAAAGGTTAGGTAATATGTCTAGAACAAGCCCTGTTGGCTCAGTATATTGGTGCACGCACTACAAAACATTTTTGTGCCTAAGGGACTGAGTTTCATTTCGAAACGCCGTTCTTAAATCGTTTGATCTAATACGACATATTCGCCGAAAATAACCTCATAATTTTCTGGCCGTTTGTATGCGCTCTCACTTAAAGTATGAATTCCATTATTGGGCTGCATTTTTCCACCTTTTTGTCATGCAGAAATAGGGGGATTCTCTAACTAGACATCTATTCAGCATTATTTAGTTATCAAGTGATTTTCTTGCCAGTTTCATTCTGCAAGGAAAAATGCTGCCTTCATATATCTCTGCACTCAAGTTAGCAGTCATGTCCGGCTGAACTTTGACCATGCGGTTGATCGCGCCTTTTTGTGTGGATTCATCAGGTCAAGTTCATTCAAGAGGCGTCTACTTTGTCCAATGTTGATTTTTCTGCATTTAATTTGATTTATTTTGTAAATGATATCGTATTTGTCTTTTTTCGTTGTTGTATCTCTTTGTCTGTATAAAATGGAGAGAAACTATTGCCCAGCTTTTCTAGAGACAGTGTTTACAAAAGGTTTCACATTTTTATTGGTAATTTCTGAGATGTCGTTCACATCCATGAAGAATGAACTCATTTAATGCTTATGGAATGATAGAAGCTCATTTGTACATGTAGTAAGCGCTGGTAACGTTCTTCAGAACCAAACGAAATGTTCACAATTAATTAAATATATGGCTAAAAAAACTCAACAACACTAGACTCAAGTCTTCTCCATCATCTCAAAACACAGCTTACTTAAGAGTCTTTAGTTAGGCTAAAATTAAAGCGAATGAATGTTGTATCAATCGTTCAGCCTAATATGAAAACCATGTTATACATAAACTATTTGAAGGCGGCTTTTCCGAGTGATGGATTCATTAGGCTGACAGTTATGCAGTGGTGGATGATTTTTGACGACAGTTGTGCAGTAAATATTACTGTGATGCAAAACATCATTATAATTACAAAAAACCAACTATCCATCAAATAGTCGGACTGATTGAATTATCATCCATCACTGTGTATTCTTGTTCTTATATACAATGTCATACTACTTTGGCATAATAATAAGCCAAAGTATTTAGAATAGATTTAAAAACAAAAGTGGGTAAATACTACTTAGAATGTCATTGAAGCTATGTATCAATACTTTATATAGCTTATAAACTTGATGAATAATTCTTAAAGGGGAAACAATTGATAGATTTACTTTTCGTTTGTTGTTTTTTATTTCCCACAACGTTACACATTCCTCTAGCTGTAACTCCACTTCGGCCATTATTATTAAAACGAACAGGAGTAGGCGGCTTTGGATTAGACGAAGTAATGTTATTCTTTGAAAAATTACGTGAACTCGAAACTCTCAATGTACCACGATTGCGAGTTTGACTTCGACCTCGTCTTATCTACAAAATAAATAGGAACTTAGAGAAGGAAGGTAATACTCTTGTTAATAAATCATATGGACACTTTTTTTTGGTTTTATAATAGGGGAATAAACTTACGATGAATTTCGCTTGACGTGTTTAACTTTAGAAATATCCCTATTATTCATTTCTTAACTGAATGTTTGTTTTTATTGATTCATGTGCTTCCCTCATTATGCTTAACATAACTACCCAGATATTTTTTATGACAAGTTTTATTCACATAATTTTATTATAACTTGCCAACTAAGAATGAATTTCTCTCCACTTTGAATGAACTTTCAATTTTGAAAGTGACACATTCTGTATATGTTCAAGTTTAGATCAGTGTAAACGTTCACTTTTTCGAGTTTATAGCGTTATCTGAACTCTGTGGCACAGTGTATTGCATGTTGGCTCATGCAGCGATGGTTATCAGTTTGATATCTCTATGTGAATACGAACAGTGAAATAGTTGGATGCTAATCAGATTTTCCTATATTTCACAATTATCCTCAATCTAAAAATGCCAGAAAGTTATCTAACTTAGTCATTACTTAGTTATTTCCTAAACAGTCTGGTTTTACTGCTGAGTAATGATAAGATTAGATTCATCGTTTTTAAAAAATCATTAATTCGATGTATTAATCCTGTGATATTTAAAACTTACTGGAGTATTTGAAGGTTTTGTAATGTTTGATTGAGTTAACCTTGGTGATGACTGTACTGGTAAAATATTCTCTGATAAAATCTATAAATGAAATAACAAACACCAAAGACTGAATACATTTAGGTAAAACGAAATGGTAAAGTATATATAATAAAATTCCTGGAACCTAACACTGAATACTGAGATTTGTGGATTTTTTCCTGATATTAAGCTCCTCTAGTGTAATGTTACGATCCTGTCTACGCCAATCATGATAATCTCACGACGTCTGCTATTACTTGATTATCTACACGAAGTTATTCTTCTTCACCTAAACTATCAACCAAAATATCGAAGTAAATTTTAAAAAAATAACTTACTCATGTATATATATATATATATATATATATATATATATATATTGAGTAAGTGTAAGATTAACCACTCAAATAGTAACTAGTACTTCAAGACTTGTTTATGCTGATTTTCACCTTGGGTTATAAGAATTAACTGAGTTTTTTAATGACCTTATTTCATATTAATTGTTGAAACGACAGTCACAAGGTGGCTTAGGTTAAAAATTGGCTTCACAATCATGACAAACGGTTGAGAGTACAGCTGGTTTTGTTTATGCATTGGGAATACACTATTATAATACAGTATCATGAGATTTCTACGATCCAATCACAGAATAAAGTATTCCGAATAAGGTTATAAGCTTTAATACTGATATAAAATGTTAAGAGTAGTATATTTTAGATAAGTAGTTTTACGGCAGTTGAATTTACGCATCCATGAACTAACTATAGGTATGTTGTTTGAGAGAAAAGAAGGAAAACATGTATAAAAACGAAAGACAATGCTTTCGTTTAGCTTAGCACTTGTAGAATTTCAAAATTCAGTTTTTATCTTTGTAAAATCTTGCTTTGCACACCTTAATTATCTTTCATTCGTCTCGAAGCCACTGTCAGCATGCGCATGTGTCATCAAGATTGATTTCTGTATATCAGCAAAAGAATTCGGACCTTGAAAAGTGGTAATATGAATATTCGTGGCTCTGTAGAGAACATATTAGTGTTCGAGGTACGACGTTCGATTTTTGATGCAAAGATCAACACCGGGATACAGGAACATCAAGCTGATGAGCCTTGAATAAGACTAAACACACGTCTTGTATTTTAATGTAAACAATATGTGCTGTTAGTTAACAAGCATTTTAAACTTACTTCATTGACAAACTGTTTAGCTTCATTACAACGACGAGTTATTGAAACTTCTCGTCTTTCTTTCCTAAGTTTTTCACGTTCATCAGCAAAATGACCAGAGAATGAATTTGATCTTTGATTTGGTTTAGGCGGTTTAGTTTGTTGCTTTATGGTTGTGCAATTATGTGTTTGATTTTGGACATTAGGATTAATTTTGCTATCAAGTGGTTTTCTGAGAAATATAAATCATATTCAAATGCAAAATAAATACAATATATAAGTTAAAAACCTTCAAATTAAGAAATAAATTTGAATTATGCAATTAAGCATTAACAAACGAATCTTGATTCATAAACACATTCATCGCCTGTATTTTCAAAAATATACAACATAATATCTCAGGGATATATCAAATTGAAAAAACGTCAATCATCTAACTTCCCTGGTCACAAAGATTCGGTGTTATGTATGATTAGAATAGAACAGCTACTGCTTATGCAGCATTGACTTAATGACTAGATCAGAAATAATAAAATTTTCAGTATTAATTTTTGTCCAGAATATTAATAGTGAAAACGTTTTACTTCATCAATAATAGATGTTTATTTGATAGTTATATTCATTGAACTAGTAAAAGCATCATCACATATGAAGAAAAAAACTTACTGATTACGTAATTGATCACTTTTAAAATTTGATTCATCATGTAGACTTTGCTGTTGGGAAATTAGCTCACTTTCATTTAGTTTATCCAACTGATTAGATGAATTAATTTGCTTTTGCTCCTTATTCAACTGAATAATTGTCTCAAGCAGCTGTAATACGTAATATAAAGGCAGTAACAATCATTTCGTTTTCATTTTAACATTCACTTACGATATTCTAATATTAGATTACATAGTTTCATGAAGAAATGGTTTAAACTGAATGCACGTTTAATAACATATTGACATTAGCTTGGAAACTATTTAAAAATGAACATAATGACACATTTTGAGACATACAAGCTAAGGCGAAAATAAAAGTGATCTTGGGAAATTGATGATTAGTGAACGATGAAATAAACTTTCAGATGTCAATAATAAATATGCCGATTGATGATAGCATTTCAATGTTGATTTTATTATATTTTATCAAAATAGAAAGTCATAAGAAAGAAATCAGCTTGAAAAGCATAGTTCATGATATTTAACAATCAATAAACAAACATTTATTAATATACCGACTATTCAGAGAAAGAATCCTTTTTAAAAGAGTTGATTCTAAAATATCATATCTTTATATATGATAACCTGCAGGTAAATAAATCATTATCTCTGTTGGAATTCGATCGCATCATTTGAATCAAAAGTTTAACAATGAGTATCATTCAGTCGAGATGAAGCTATGTGAATTGTAATCACAAAATCTGAACACAGACAAACATTGTAATAGTACACTTTTTCCCACTCATACATATTTAATCCTTCGTTATTCATACAATAAATTAGAGTGAATTCAAATCATTCCATAAATGTAGCAGTGAGCAGGGGATAATCAAATAAAACTACAAACTTGGAAAGGGTTTAACAAATTATTTCTGTGCATACAACTGACTCAGACTTTGAATAATGGATCACCGAAGTTTCCACAATGTCAATTAGATTAGAGCAAACACCTCTTAATATATATTTGACTAGTTTTTATAAATGATTCTAACTGATGAATATGTTGAATATCTTGTACCTGCTGAATGTTACAGAAACGATAACGTAATTGGCATATTGTGGCCTCTATGTAGCCACGGTGATTAACAGATGATGCGCAATATCTGACCGAGGATTAGTTGGGAAGTCAAATTATTACAATGAAAAGAAATCACTTTCGAACAGTTTGAAATAAATAGTGAGTTCACAGTAATGATAGATTTGTGGTAGAAATGGTACAACTTATTTTTTATACTGAAATTCAAACACAAGAAATAAATTCCAAAAGTTACTAACTTCAAGCAGTCAATGTGACCTAACAGCAAGAAGCCAATTTTTTAAATCTTTTCATTGCAAATTTATAAACCTGACTTTCGCAGCTATCATTTCTGGAGAATAATACAACGCATTTCAGGTGGATAGTCATAGATATTTACCCCGGAGATTTCAGAAAATCATGTATCTTGTCACATTTTCCCATTATTAAAAACTTACTATTCGCTTTCCTATGTATACAAAACGTTCTAAGTAGGTAACACCAGTCACTGAGAAATGTGAAGTGACCAAAGTTGAAAATATTTTGTGTATATGCTGCAGGTGATCAACAACATTTACAGTAAACATCTACCTCAGATAATATCCACCTATAAATTCTTAAAAGACAGTATGAGAAAAACATTTCTCACTACACACACACACAGCCGATTGTGACTAAGACTATTGTTAACTCAAAAGTACCAATGGAAATAACAATGCATATTTGCGAAACCATAACTAATAAATCAAATACTCACCTCTTGGTTACGTTTATGATCTTGTTCTAGTTGAACTGAAACTTGATCGATCACATTTAGACGATTATCGATCTCGCTTAACGCTTTCACCACATCTAAGGGGAAATTACTAGATGTTTGTTTGTTACATGATAATAATGATCTAATTTCATTATTCATTGATTGCCCGTTTTCCTGGTTTACAGTATTTGAATATTGTAACTTTTTCGCTGTAACTAGATCAGCCATTGATTCCGGTTTATTTTCCGTAGTTAAAGTTTGTATTTGCAACTTTGACACATGCAAGGCTTCATTTTGTGAAATTTCGGACGGACTAATCGTATTATTCATTTCCATTGGTTGTTTTCTTGATTGTAAATTAACATTTGTAGTTGTTATATTAGAATTGTTATGTTCACAAAGATTGGATGAGTCTATGTGTAATGGAATACATGGTTCAATATACTTCATATCTTCATTATTCCAATCTATCAGGTCAGATGTATGTATACTTAGAAATTGTTTAGTGACATGCTAATTGAGAATAAATAATGCAATATAGGACATATCATTATTATGAACAAGAGAAATGTGGAAATATTGAACATAACAATTATTTGAATAAATTAATGATTTAAGTAAGAAACGAAATGTTTTATTTGTTCTTCACACAATAAAAAAACTTATTTATTCTAAGCGAAAAAGAAAATCGTTAAAATTGAAAATATTCAAGTATACTTTATTATGCTTTTTTTCATAGTCAGGTTTGGTTAACATCCAAAAATAATATGACTAACTGAAAAGTGAATAAAATGATATCACTGTTTGTTTAAGTAAGTGAATGAAAAACCAACTTGATAGTTTACAAACGTATTTGTATTTCACCATGGCAATCATAATTGTTCCAGTGATATCAAGTTTTTATCACTTTTCGAGACATATTAATTCACCTAGGTAAAGTATTGTACGATAATCGTTCGATTTCAAAGCAACAAATTTCTACACACCTTTTACTGTCTTCGTAAATAGACTAAATATAGAGATAAATGATTCTATTATGAGCAGAGACAACGAATCGTCAAATGTTTTGTCACTTTCATTTAGAATGTTTGTCAGTCAGTCAGTAATTTACAATGTAGAACTTCGTCCGTAAGTTCATCAATTCAAGTTGCCGTTCAGCAGAAGCAATAAGACACAGTTGTCAATTTAAGTGCCATAGTATTGGAAGTAGTAGACGTTTAGGCTGTAACAGAGAAGATTAGGATTCGAAGATATTATTCAAGAAGTGTAATTCAGTCAGATAAATTTGGAGAGAGGAAAACAGAGATGATGAGGAATTCAGAAGATTAGGATTTGAGAGAGCACAAAAGATGGATGCACCTGCGCCATTGCAAACGGTTTTGAGTCATGTCGTTCAAGATCTTTAACTATTTATTACTAGCATCTCGCGGAAAACGGCCAGATAGTCTATACCTACCAACATGACTCAATACGCTTGTCAGTGACTTCATGGATTTGAGTCATGTTTTGGTCTGGTCACCCCTAGCTTTCTTCCAACCTACTCCTACACCACAAAACATAGCTCGTCGAGGCAGTCGGTGGTTAGCCATACGTAACACATGTCGTAACCATCTCGATCGATGAAGTTTCACTACTTCATCTATTGATCTGCCATCCTTACCTAGCACCCATTTCCTAACAACTGCACTGCTTACTCGATAGTCCCATGATAAACGAGCAATGCTTTGAAGACATCGATAATCGAATACCAATAATCTATGAATATCCTCTACTCAAAATAAAACAGGAAATAGAAAAAATGGATCACTGCAAAACATAAACTAAGCGTTATACTGGACAAAATGTTCGTTCAACTAATAAAATGATTCTCAGCCTAAATTGATGTTACTCTGAAATAAACAAATGCTATGCTGAAAAGTTATTACATTTAAATAAAAAAGTTTGGTTATATGGAATCAGAATCAAACTCAGTTAAGAAGGCTCGATCTCATGTCTTTTCTCCGTAGTAACAGGTTGTAAAAAAATATGTTTCGAAAGTAGAAAAAAATTCACAAAAATAGAAAGAAATCTATCCAGTTATAGAGTTATTATGAAAAGTTGGTAGTTCGTAGGTTTTCATAGAAATTTTCAACGTTATATATCATTTATCACACTTTTTAGTTAGTACAAACAAATAACACGACCTAACGAAGAAAGAAAATAACTAACTGATAGCAAAACGAAACTCACTGCAATATCATTGGACAATAATTGTTCAACACAATCTGAAGGCCATGCTGTATTCTCATAATTAGTGAATGCATTGAAACCAACTAAGAGAAAAAATTCGTGGTCAAATCAAAACACATCATTATTTTAACTAACTGAAATTCAGTAGACTGAATTTGAACAAATAAGCTTCTAATAAATTAAAACAAGAGGTCAAAAAGTTCATTAAATCATTAAAATGAGTTAATTAATCAGGTCATTTCTACCGTAAGGGTGTAAGAAGAGCCTTTTAATATTATTGAACACATATCATCGAGGAATCCCGTACCAGATGTTCCCAGTTTTTAATGGTTGTTAAACTACGATCAATTCATGGTGTTAACTTTGAAGTTATTTTTAATTAACATGACTTTAATACATTGAGCTATATTTTTAGGCAAACATTATCAAAAGCAATGTACATGTAAAGCCTGCAAGAAGTATTTTAAAATGCACAACATCCTCATATTTGGTAATATAATTAAATAAAGGTCAATAGAAGTTTGTGTGCATGTTGTAGAATTTTAAAACATGATTCGATATTTGTATGACAAAGTCATCAAACGTCTACTCTCAATCTTATTACCATCATTTTAAAAAATACTATATTAGCAGTCACAATAACACGTTATCGCATGAAAAAAAATTTTGTTGGAATCACATTTCAGTCACAGTATAATACAAACATTAACCTCAAACTGTGACATCATTTGAAAAAATATTAAGCGACTAATGTGAAGAGAACCAACGTGGTTTTAAATTAATAGCTGGACAGTTTCGTAAAACATCTAGAGAGAGAGGAATCTCTGAATTTTTAGTGAATAAAATCTTGATCTAACCAAAACTGAGGTAAAACAGCAACATTCAATGCTTTTAAAAATAATATATTTCCTTTGGCTTTCAGGATTACGGGTTGGGCTTTACCTGGTGGTTTCCTCACTGCGTGTTCTATCCGTATAATGCGTTTTTACGTAATTTCATCCTTCAGAAGTAAATTGATTCCTGTAGAGAGCTTAAGAGAAAAGATCTGAGCTAATTAGTTTTTGGTAATCGCTTTTTCAAAATTCATACGTACATTGGTTGCGTTTTATCAGTGAGAACATATTTCATAGCATGAAAGTTCCGTCCACCGACTTTTTATTATCACATAAGAAAGTACTTGGGAATGTGGTATTTGGCTTAGGCAATTGATTGTCAATTGTCGATTCATGATTTCTTTGTTAATAATTTCCATCTACTGAGGTATGAATAACTAGATAAAATTACATTTTAATCTAAAAATATTACGCAATTAACCCGCAAACTATTTATCAATTTGAATATTGCCTCATATATCAATAAAGAAAAATATTATACAATAAAATTAAATGTAACTGAAAAAAATTATCATCATGACATTGGTTACATAGAATACCACCAACACGTCATTCAAACTCATTAAAATAACAATTATATTTATCTATCCTGTAATACATTTGAACAAAAAAAAAATTAATTCACTGCATTTCTGTTCAACTTACTTTGAGTTTTAGGTTCACCATAATCAACAAAATTAAATTGAACTCCAAAGTCATGATAAGATTTTTTCTCATTTTCATTAGATGGAATGAGTTTACACTGTGATGTATAATCATCTTTCACATTGTTAACAGATTGAGGTTGAATATTTTCTTTTGTGGTTTCTAAAGCCCATGAAATATCATTTAATGTCGGTTGATCTTCATTGTTATATTGTTGTTCACTTAGAATTGGATAAGTTAACATTTGTAATGTATGTTCATGCGATGTTGGTTTACAGTCTGTAGGTTTTTTTCGATTTGAAAGATATGTTTCTTTCGAAGTTAAAGAATTATTAAACAATTCATTACCAGTTTTATTATAGTCAAGTTTTTTTTCAACAGCATGACATAAATATGGTAGTTGTAGAAGCCTATTACTGTTGTTAAATTGATGAACATTTGAATTTTTCAATAACTGGTATTCATTCGATAAAAAATGACTTTTTAACAAATGCAATTTTGTTACATTCTGTTTTGAATTTTTCGCTATTTTCGAATTGAATTTCATAATAGATTTTATTTTATTTAAAGAAAGAAGTTTATTTACATTATTATTAATAGTTTCCCATGGTATTGCTGAATAATTGAGAGCTGGTTTCAATAATTGAATGTTGTTTGGTGATGTTGAATTCTTTCTTACTTTGGTACTTTCAGACAAATGTGACAGTTTATTTATAGGTGATAGACATTTTTCTCGTAACATTTCATTATTATACAAGATAAGTGGAAATTGATTTTCAATGGTATTCAGTGTTTTCTATGGGAAAAAATTACTGACACAAATTTAGTACAGTAGGAGTTAAGTTAAATTTCAGTTACATGAACAATATTTACTCATTGAGAATGTGATGAGAATGCATCAAATATCATAAATAGTTGAACTATTATATTGTTCATGGTTTTTCATAAAAACTCCGAGAATTATCTCTTAAAATTAGTTTGTAGTAGGAACATGATGATTGTCACTGTACGGGGTTGTTTTAAAATGAATATATTTTAGATTTCATTGCAAAACACTAGCAGTATTGTATTCATTCATGCTTGATTAATAAATCTAATCAACAGTGAAGCTATCTAACATACCAATAAATAATAGATAATTTTAGTAAGAGAACTTTGATACAATATAAGACTGAATGAAGTTGAAATCGAGTCCCTGCTAAGTAAGTTCTTAACTGAGTCACAATCTTAATAAAATTTCAGTCAGTAACGGTAGAAGCAGCATGATTTATGTGTGAATTCGAATAATTAAAAACAAATACCTCGTCAGTCATCAAATGTTTCCGCTATTATTATTATTACTATTAAATCTAACTATGTTCAAGAGTTAACAGTAACAAATTTTATGTTCTTTTAAAGAAAATAACGAAATCATTAATTAATTAAAGTAAATTTGAAATATGGTTGAATCTAGTGTTGATCTATAGCTGAACTGACTAAGTTGTAAATTGAAACTGTAAACGTCAGTCTTCCTTTAAAAATAGGTAAACCAGTGGTCCATGCGTTTTAAGGAAGCTTCAAAGTAGTATCACTGTGATGAGAAGTGTAGTCAAATTTTCCAGATTTTCCATTAATGAACTTAGGTTCATAGCAGTCGTGTGCTTATAAGCAACTAATCCCGAGATAGGTTTGCTGGAACTTCACTGGAATATGCTGATCAATAGAGTAGGCTGGGTTGGAAATGAATAAAAGACTTACCGATGGCACTTCACGGACTGACTACAGTTAAAATAATCATAATTGACTATAGGACCACTGATTACTAAATCAGAGTCCAACACAGTCTCTCGTTTAACAAAACACCTGTGTACATAATTTAGTTTTATATTAGGATGTGAGGACATACTTCTAACGATTCACCATATTAAGAAAAAACAGAACCCCATTATAAACCGCATTTTTATGCTGGAAAGTTGAGAAAAACTTGAAAGACGTTGTGTTATTGGGTTTTATGTTGATAAACAGTTTTTTGGCGGACTCAGAGCTCACTTTAGTCTTACGTTAGTTTAGACTCTAAATGGGCAGTTCACAGTTAGTGATTGCAATGAAAAGCATAAAATTACATTTCTTAGAACAAATACAAAGCTTTAATATAATGCAAAGTCTGTATTCATGGCTTTCTATATTTAATCCTACTTTCAGCTGCATAGGTATTCCCTCTTTTGATAATCGTTCATTTAGCGTGGCAAGCTAAAAAACGATCAATTTTCGGGATTAGTTACCACTCACCTATATTATATAATAATTTAAGCGCTGTTTCGTAAATCTATAGAACAAACATTTTACTCTACTCAAATCAGATCAACCAACGTAACTGAACAATAACGAAGCAAATCTACAAATCTTACCATTGTAAGTATCCTGACAGATGGAGCATGTGAACTAGAGAGACAATTAGGCAATAACAAAGGTTTATGCTCAGTTGCTTTGTTAGTTCTAAAATAAAAAAAATGAATATATTTAAGACATAACTGTTTAATTACTTATTTATTTAGATGAATGGATAATAGTTTAATTTAACATTTAATTCAGTATTCATAAGACTACATACGTAACAATCAAGATAGTAAGAAATACGTGTTTAATTATCGACTTATTTACTAGATTTAGTAGTATAAGTCAAGCAATCCTTCATGTATGCCAGTCTCACAGGTATAGGACAGGCTAGTAAAATATTTCAAACATGGTCAACAAAATCAAGTCTACTTACTCTGTGAAATAATAATTGTAACTCATCAGAGTCTAGATTTGTGAAGACAGTGAGCAAATTAATTGTTTGATACTTTAGGACGACTGCATTCTAGTTAACTAGAATTTTTTTCTATTATTTAAAAAAAAAAACGAAGGCGCAGTATCCCTCAGAATATCCTTCAGATTATTTAGTGCGCACGATGCACACTGACTAAATTTCAACTGACGCTTTTGAAATTTTTTAGGTTCTTGTCCACCCAAGCAACAGACTTTTGCGATTGAGTTTCAGCACATAATTACGTATATAGTTAATTAACTTTTTACGCATTTAGCAGGTCATGGAAATTTACAGGAGTCGTAGAGGTTTGATTAAAAAAATTTCAGAAATGTGCTGCATTGTAATATGAGCATTAGAAATACTACCATTAAACGAATACCACATCCGAAATCGACCACCACTGAGAGCATAATAGTCATAAAAGTCTAACAGGAATCATTAGAAGTGACATAGTCTTAACATTCCAATAGGTATAATAAAAGGCGTATTTGACACTGAGACCTTGGATTTGACTTACTAGAGTTGTGAAACATCACAAATGTATTCCTCTGCTGATTGGAAAATAAATAGACATTATTTATAGTATGGGCAAAGCAACTCTGAGTTTAGTTTGCTACAAATCATCAAGCTAGGCATTGAAAACACATCAACTCGATCACCTACTAAAGTAACTGAATATTATGAAACACTTGAATTTTAGACATTAGGTAGCAGGTTTAAACTGCGTATTGTCTACATCAGCTTAGACAACGGTGTGTTTCTACTAGCTCTCATGCAAGAAATGTAAGTTAAAGCCAACTGTATAAGTCTTTTGTTAGCGGATGACTCACAGTTTAAAATGCATTGTAGACATTCATATTTTGACATTCGCATCTTAAGTGGGTGCCATAAATTCCAGTCGGTTTTAAACTTCTTTACATAAGGAATTTTGGAACAGTCACAACAACAATCAAATATCAAAACTAGGCTTCAATAGGCAAGACAATAATATTAGAACCTAGCAATAAAAGCATTTGGCTGAGCTTTCATCCTTTTCAGTTGATCTAATACATTATACCTTGATCAAACAATATTCCTTTGTGGTTTTCGGTTAGCCTGAAATACTTGGGAATTCGGGAACGATTATTTCATCCTAATAAGAACAGTTCTACTGAGAAATTAATAATGGCGACTGGCACACAACACTTCAACAACGAATAACAGCTAACGCAGAAGATAAAATGTAAGTAAAATTTGATATTCTAGAAGAACAATTTATAATCGTACAACTCGGTATACATGCTGACGAAAGCATGATCTGCAGGCATACATAAAATTAGTAAGCTGTGAGTGTTAGAAACCCAGTAGAAAGAAAGGTCCAGACAGAAATAAAGTTAAGAAAAAGGCATCCATAGTTACTATTCTTAGTAAGACGTTACGATTATTAAAAAAACTGCAAAAACTATGATGCCTTAGCTATATCAGGGAGGATTCCATTTCTGAAAGATAATCCAGTAAACACAGAACTGCGTGTAGTATGATGAAACTCATTAAGATCATTAGGTCGTTGTAACATAACATAATAAAAATACCACATATTAATTAAAACGAAATCCTACTTCAGCAAATGATACTTATGAACATTATCTCGAGCACAGTCTAAAGAATCTGGATAGAGCCATGACTTGCGTTTCAGTGATGACCAGCTTGGTGCTCCTTTTTCACAAGCTGGGGGAGTAGGTAACATGAATCTAAAAGTATAGATATGGAAAATAAGATGTATGAAGCTAAATGTAAGCTAAATGCGGAATTCAACAAAAGGAACTATGCACAAACATGCATTAAACAATTTCAAACTTGAAAATATATTACTTACAAAATATATAAGTATCACTATTGAATAATACAATTATTCTGTGTGGTTCTTAATTTTGATCAAGGTTGTTTAATCAACATTTAAAGATTAAAAACAAAACAGCTGATCTTTTCTACTTATTTTTGAACGTTCATTGCGTAAATAGATTTCTTAGCTAACAAAGTTGATAGAAATAATGATGATAACCTCAAGAAAATTGACTAGGAATTACTGAATCAATTTAATAGTAGACTGAGAATATCGCTATTGGTCTGAAATATTTTTGACATTCCTACTTATTAGTAAAACATCAAAAACGTAAATAGCGAAAGGTATTCTTAGGAACTTAAGTCAGGGCTCCAAAAATAAAAGTTTCATTTCAGACATGAGATATCTGGTCAAGAAAGTCTCAGAATAATACAAAATACATCTTTTTACTCATTCTAACCGTTAGTTCTTCTTTACATTACAGAGTGGGCAATATTCCTTTTGCTAACTTGATATTTACTCACGCATGTTACCCACAGTAGAGCACACGCCGCCGACCAGTATTCTCCAGCTTACTCTGTCTTCGGTTTCTCTTACCAGTTCCGTCAAATTTTCGTGCTTTCTTCTCATGTCTGTCTCCATTACTCGGCGTAATGTGTTCATTGGCATTCCTCTTGGTCTTGGAACTTCAATGTTCCAGGTGAGGGCTTGTCTTGTGAGGCAGTTAGATGCTCTCCTCAGTATATGACTTATCAGCCTCCAACGATTCTTCCTCCAATGGAATATGGTTTATTCTAGCCCACAATAGGTTCTAGCTGATGGTGTCTGGCCAACAGATCCGAAGTATTTTTCGTAGAACACTGTTAGTAATCACTCGTATCTTCCGGCGAGTGGCCTTCGTAATTCTCCAAGTTTCCACTCCATACAGTAGAACATTTGTGTTGAAAAGTTTGACGCTAGTGTTGGTTGATAGTTGTTTTGAGTTGCAGATGTTGTTCAATTGTAGAAATGCTTCACCGATCCAAACATTCACATCTGCATCACGACCACCCTACTCATACATCAGGCTCCCGAGATATGTAGACGTTTGCATCTTTCAAAGCTTCCCGTCAAGTGTGATTTGGTTAATGCATGTTATGTTGTTTAAGAGAATCTTGATTTTCTCCTGTGCATGTTGTGCATGTGCATGCTGCTGTACTAGTCGTCTTCTCTTACATTTGTTGTTGCGTGTGCGATAGAAGAGCCAGGTCATCTGCGTAGTCCAGATAGTCCAGCTGCATCCTGGCTGTCTATTGGATACCGTGCTCCTCTCCAGTTGTTTACGTCTTCATAATCCAGTCGGTCACCGGGAGAAAGAATGAGATGTAGAGTGGTACGTTTCACTCAATTTCCGATCTTTTTGATCTCAAACGGTTTCCTTCATTCTTTTTAACAACACGCTGTTGAAGACTTTGACTGTTATTGAGAGAAGAATGATGCCTCCTTAGTTCTGACACTTGCTGAGATCGCCTTTCTTTGGTATTTAGGTGGGGTATCCTTCTTTGCAGTCTGTTGGCGCTTGTTCTTCATCCCAAATCTTGTTGAAGAGAATGTGAAATATTTTTGCAGTTGCTGCTTCAATGTGTGGGTGGGTTCAATGGGGCTGGTCGATTCAAGAAATCCTGAAAGTGCTCTATCAATCTGGTTTGCTGTGCTTCAGTGTTAATGATTACATTGCCTTTCTTGCTTTTCACTGATCTTTCTGGTTTACGATATTCCCAGCGATCTTCTTTGTTGTTTAGTACAATTGTCTCATGTTTCGTTCTCCTGCAGCCTTTTCTGCTGTCCTCTCAAAATCTTCCACATATTTATGTTTGATGCTCCTCCTCACTTGCTTGGTTGTCTCTGTCTATTTGGCTTGTGCCTTGGTTTTCTCTGCTCTTGTTCGGCTGACATTGATTGCTGCCCTCTCATTTTTCTTTCTTGAAATCTATCAATGGTACCAACAGAGATCCATTCTTTGTGATGGTAGCTTCTGTTACTCAGAACTTCCTAACACATTGAAGTGACTGCCTACTTGACCCCTATCCAATCATTCGCGAAGGTCGTTTCGTTTCCATTGATTAGATCGTGCAAAGCGTGGAACCTATTGGAGAGGGCTATCTTGAATTCGTTGAGTTTATTAGTACCTCGAAAAAAGGCCGTATTAAACATTTGTGATGTTCTCCGCCCCCGTTGTCCAGTGTTTCTTGAGTTTCCGTTTCATTTTGGCGACCACCAAGTGGTGATCTGAGTCTATGTCAGGTACCTTCTTGGTTCTCACGTCCTCCATGATCTTTCGGAGCATTTTATTGATACGTAGATGGTCAATTTGTTTCTCTGTAGTGTGACCCGGTGAAATCCATGTAGCTTTGTGTATGCATTTATGTTGGAATATCGTTCCACCTACGACCAGTTCGCTGAAGGCACATAGGTTTGCAAATATCTCATCTTTTTCGTTCCTTTCTCCTAGTCCATGTCGTCTCACGTTGTATTCATATCTGGTGTTGCTTACGCTAATGTTGGCATTTAGGTCTCTAATCAGGATTGTCAAATCCTTTGATGAGCATCTCTCGACGATTGACTGCAGCCTATCGTAGAATTGATCTTTCGCATAGGCTTCGTAGTCGTTGGTGGACGCATTGCATTAAGTGATATTCATTGTAATGCCTTCTTTCTTTGTCTTGAAGGATGCTTTGATGACCGTGGGTCCATGAGATTGCCATGCTGTCAGTGCTTTTTGTGCTTGCTTGGATAGCATCAGGGCAACTTCTTGTGAGTGTGAGGTATTTTCTTCATGGCCGGAGTATAATCGCATTTCTACTAAGGTTAGAGTTTTTGTCCAATCTGTGTCCAATGTGTTTCACTGACTGCAAGTACTACCAGATTGTATCTTTTCATTTCTGCAGCAGCTTCGATAGCCGTCCAGATCTTTCACAATGCACGAACATTCTATGTGCCTATATTAGTGGTTGCTGTGGTTGAGAGAAGGGGGCTTTGGCCTTATGACTTCCGAAGGAACTCGGAACTCATCATGAGACGTCGTAGCTCTTTTAAATGAAGACCTTCCAACTCCCAAGGCAGAGGTAAAATGGTTTGAATTCCTTTTCTGGCTAGGGTTTTTTTTAAGTTAGTTTTCTATGGGATGAGGTCGCTAACCTCATGCCTAAACCTCCTCCTTTATTCCGGCTTGTGACTGGCACCAGCCTCAGAGGATCTATTGGCGGAGTCGACCACTAGTCCTAGAGAATATAAACATTTTCTGAACTTAGTATTCCTGATCTATCAAAATACGATGTCAGTATTCTGGTTCCAGAAAAATATGGTGATAAATGAAATGAAGTAATACGAAATTGAACCCCAGTAATATAAATCTTAGCTAATAAATTCCCTATTTTTTTATTTAACACTGATGAATTTTTAACACACTGTATACATTCAAAACCTCTGTAAAGCATACTACATAAATGTATCATATAATAATTGTAAGTAAAGCCTTCAGAAAAACTTTTAAACCATTGTCAGATTAATAGACTAACATTCAGAGAAAACAAACAAACTCTATTATAAATTAGTATAGTTCTAAATGACATGTAGCACATAAACATGGTAAAGTGAAATTTACTGAGAACAGTAAAATTAGTAGCATTAATAGTAGCATTAGTAGCAATATTTACACACTACAGTGAATTTATGCTATTTTTTTGGTTTTCCCTACAGCTACATACAACCTAGTAAGTTTAATTATTTCCAATTGATAACATAATATTAAAAATGAGTTGTCAATCATTATCGGATAAGTTGTGTGTAGTATGTCAGGTTTAAGTCTCCTAACTGTTATGGCGTCTGTGAACTTTAACAACAAGGAAGTGAACTGTTTATTGATAGACAGGGATGAATTCATCAAATGAAATTTGTGTGCCATCGATTTCTGCACGTAACTTTCTGTTGGATTTTACTGACTGAACGTATTCTTCTTAAATGGTTAACGATTGTACCCTTTTTAATTTCTTTTTCAATTGCAAACTTTGTTCGGAACTTTCGAAACATGCTTTTCAAGTGTTCTTTTTTTATGCAGTCAATCCTTTTATTCTAGTTTGCGGCATAAGTGCATCTGAAACGTATTCTATCACAAAACCTTCATATTCTGTCTTCGGAAATCATGCTGTTAATTATTAGTATTTTGGAAATGTCACCAGCCAAAGTAGATTTAAGAAATTAATTGGAGTAGCTTATGTTTGATGCCCGAAGGCACTGATGATGCCTTGAGAAAAATTTCACACTTCTAGCTGAGTTGAATAAATCAGTATTCCAATACATAAAAATAATGTGATCTATGTCAAACAAATGTACCACGGTTTATGACATAAACAACACAAGATTTCGACATATTCTTCAATATTAAAATGAAAGGGTCTAATGTAGCATATAAAAACACGACTTTTTATGCATCACACAGTAACTCACACTTTATCCCTAATGTGTAAGAAATTATACAAAACATGTGGCTAAACTGAATATAAAGACATATTTGAAGCTAAATATTTGGTGAGATTGCAAGAAACTCGTTTATAATAGCATACAAAATAGAACTTAATAGGTACGCACATCAGTTAAAGTTGTCATTCCATAATAGTAGAGAGGTAGAATTGCTAGGCTAATTACCAGGGTAGTAGAGATAAAAATTGTACCAGTAGTGACAAAGAATAGTAGGCATCCTGAGAAAAACTAAGATAGGGAGGCAGAAAATTGTGAGGAATTTAAACGACCAGGATTTGAAGGAAGCCACAGAAAAGATGCACCTGCACAATTACAGCGACATTAAATCATGTCACTTAAAATCTCTAAGCATTGGTTAAGATAATCACTTAGACTCCAACTAGATAAACAGTCAAATTACCAGTGACTTCATGGCTGTTGCCATGTGTGCTTTGGCTGCTCTTAGAATTCTTCCAGCCAAAACCCACACTAATTACCGCTGTTCGTTGAGGTGGGCGTAGTTTAGGGGCATAAATAAGACAGGTCCTAATCACTTCAGCTGATGAAGATTAATTACTTCGTTAGTCTACTTGCCATCCTTTCCTAGTACGCTATTTTTATAACAAACATTGCTTACTAAGTAGTCGATGCTTCAAAGATTCCTGTGGTGACATAGGAATATCCACTATTCTAATTAGTCATGTTTCGCGTCCGCAACTTAGAACAGAGTGAACTTCTGAGCTTAAAATAGTCAGATATCTCGCCTAAGCCAGAAGTGACGCAAGCTGGCCAAAGCTAATTGAGACCTCTGAATCTGCGACAAAAAAGTGATGAGACTTTCAAAGCAAGTGAACTCAGTTGATAATTTCATATACTCCACACCGTATCATCAATTCGGGTGCCAACGAATGCAAGTCCTAAAACAACATTTTATATTTAGAGGGAGAAAATCGCCTTCTGAATAGTCAGTCAGTC